CTGGGTATTCTTTATTCGGCGGGAGAAGATTTAGATGAACTTGTCGAGGAAGATTTCAGTTGACTTTAATGTCCACTTTGGAATGTAATGCCTTTTTATCGATTTAAACCGACCCCCAGAGTTGCATGTTGGTGCTACACTTGCTACACATGTGCTAAGTGGAGTCGGAGATCAGACAAATGTGTATCTCTGTATAAGGGCAGGGTTTCATACACTGTCTCATTTGGGGATGCCGACAAGAGAAATTAATTGCTTGCTTGGGTATTAATAAGGCTGTTCAGTGTCTTAATAAATGGTAATTCATTTTCAGGCCCCAGTGAACGTCTACAATGGAGGACTTAATTCTAGTAGGAAGACTGGTGTCCCTGCATCTACAGGGGCTGCCTGGATAGCAGTAATATGGAATATACAAGCATTGGACAAAGCTGAAGTAAGGACCCCCCCCCCCAACTTGTCTTTCAGATTACCATGAGATACTTTTATGATGAGCATTTTTATCCCTTGAAATCTGTGAGAGAAAGTCAAAAGGATTCTGATATTGTAATGTATTATCCTAATGATGGATAAAACTAAGTGACTCCAATCCTAATTTCATTCCTCAATTTCAGACTCGGTATGGATTAGCGGTAACTTAAATATGCCTTTTTGAAGGAGGGTGGATATGTCTAGGTGCAGCAGATACTGACTCGTGGCTGATAAGACCACCTTAGGTGAGGCTTTGAACTTTTAAGCTGTATTACTTTGAATCCCATATGATGACCCATAGGAAGAGTCTTACTGCATACCGACATATGCTTTTAAAGATGGTGACTCATTACCAACTGACTTTTAAAAAATATTAAACTTTTTTTACTTGGTTCAAGGAAGATATGTAATTAACTACTTTTTTTAAAATTATTATTGCAGATTGAAATGGATTTTTTCCTGTCACTGGCCTTCTTGGCCAAGTATCTTCAATGGCATGTAAGTTCCCTGTTCTCCCAACCTAGTACTTTCATAATGAAGACATAAAATCCAGTTTGTCAAACTTAGTGCATTTGTCTTTGCAAGGCTAAAGTATCTTTTAAAAATTGAGTTGTATTTCAACCACTAATCACGCTTGACTGCCTCAAGTTAAAAGTGCTTGTGGGAGTTTTTTACAAATGGTGGAAGATTAAATGTTTCTTTGTAAAACGCATGGTAAGCACATCTTGCTGTGTGCCTGATAAGATCAACACTTCAAAAAATTATAATTATTTTAAAGTAAATAAATATACAGAATTAATAATTTGATTGGTATCTTTCAGAGGCTCACCCTGATCTTCAGAATGTTGTAGGATCATCTTCTCCAAGGTAAATATCCTGGCCCGTCCTGTACATGGTTATTATGAAATGATGAGTAATTTCGCCCCTATCCTAGTTAATTATGCAGAGTTGCATTGGTCTTTCTGAACTAGAATAAGTTATAAAAAAAAAAATGGTTCATTATTTGGTTCTTAAGATTCTTTTTTTGCTTCAGGTTCCTTGATGTGAAGTGGATATGAACTGGCTATGAAGTTAAGGTAAGTACAGCCACTTATATTTTATATACTATGAGAAGTATGATGTGAACTATGACAAGCATATATCTGAAACTTGATGTTAATACCATAATCTGATTTTCAAATTTTGAATATCTTTTTGAGTCCCTGCACTGAGACTTCCATCTAAAATATGCATTTATCTCCAGGTCTTTGGGTCTTGCTAAGATTCTCCCGTAAAGTGGCTGAAAGAAAAATAAAAGGTGGGTTTATTTTTTAAAATTTGGCCTGGTGTTCATTTTAATATGATGATTGTTCTCACAGACCTGTTCTGAAAGTGGTGTTGACACTGAACGGCCATCTGATCTTGTCATATTTTTTAGTTGCTTATAATTTGACCTGCACTCGGTTCTAAAACCACCTTCTCTTTTTAAGGTCTTGAGGTGTGATGCATTGGTCAACATGATGGGAATGAACCCTTATGTAAATGGTGAGTAAATTTATTTTTCCTATCCCCCCCTTCAAAACTAGTGTCATTTAGGTAAACCCTGTGCATTGTATCCAGGATCACTCCTGCATGGTGACTGTCTTTAGTTGTACAGGATAAGTCTTCATCTAACTTTGCTTCACTTTTATTTAAGTATTGAGTTTATATCCTCACTATTACACTAGTTCACTTTTCATGATGAATGTATACAGAACTGATTATTACTGATGTTATCAGTTACGGATCTACTGAGAAGGTTATGATACATATTCTGTGTCCTCTTGAGAGCAGAACTCTAATAAAGTTTTCCCATTTTCAGCACCCTTGAGCCTTCTGATAGACAGAACTCCTCCCAATGTAGTGGAGGACCAGGATGTATGGCGACTTGTCTAAGGAAGGGCACTGGCTTGCTCCTGAGTAGGGAGTTCCAGATGAAAGCCTAAGACTTAAGTTATGGAAATTAATTTATTTCAAGATCTTGCTGTACTTTTATACCAATAAATTAAATTTTATATTTCAAATTTTGGAGTTTTAGTAAACCTAGACCTTACTTTTATCCATATTTCTAAAATAGATGTGAACCCAGGAATAATTCCTAAACAAGTCTAATTAAAGCTACCAGATCAAATGACCACATTCCCTGATTGTTACAACACCTACTTGCCCAACTTTCGATCAAGGGTTTAAACTGAGTACTCTTTATTTGAAAATCAATTCAGTAAGGTTAGAGCTGAATTTTGGTGTTTTTGGTAGTGTGAAGCACAAGTTAGTAATGGGGGGGAAAAAACAAATTCCAAGTAAAGTTTCAATAAATTTGACTTGTATGATGCCACTTGACATTAAAATCATTTGCACCTTAAGCATAACTTCAGACCTGTACACAAGTGAATGCAATGGCAAACCCCTGTGAATTACACCTCCCCCCCCCCCCCAACCCCTTGTTCATTGTTGGGGGAGGGGGTGGCTTAGGAGGCGAAGATGCACCCAATGCTGAGGAACTCCCCTGCCTTGGGACTTCGCCCTCGACTTATTTTGCATGCTTCTTCGTTTGTCCCTTCCCCAACCCCTTCTAAACTTGCACTGGAACCATCTGTATCTCCTCAGGAAACTGCCTTATCTATAACAAATTGGTCAGACTGGAGAATAGCTTGCCTGTTTCACGGGCTATCAGTACTGTGCTACTCAACTCTCCGAGGTCATCGTAAGAACCCCACAAATCTTGCCAAAGATACTATCCGTAGACATAACCTCTTGAATGTTTACATTGGAGTATCCCTCCCTTTGGCCATATCAACCTCTGTCAATGCCAAAACTGTTGGCGGTTAGAACATCCTGTCGAGCATTGCCGTTCCACAGCCAGATGCCCTCTGTGCCCAACCTGGGCATACTCAATCCAATTGCTCTAAAGAGTCCCACATGTGCTAACTGTGGCGGTCCCCCATGACCAAATTTGAGTCTGAGGTGGCAAAACTCTTGTATTCAGACTTGGACTCGCTGAACTTGAAGCCAGACAGGAAGCACTTTCTATTTTTTTTTTTTCTCTCCTTCCTTCATTAATGCGACGCTTCTGCCCTACCTCCAAGCTATTCCGACAGCTCCCTTATACTTCCCTCCTACATCTACTTCCCCACTGTACCTACTACTTCCCCCGTCAAATTCTTTTGTAAATTCTAAATCCCAGATGCTCAATCTCTACGGCAAACCCCAAACACCTCTCCCTCTCCCTCCCACACTACCTGCAGACAGACTAAACGTTCCACCCCTTCTATCACACACACCTCCCACCTACCTTTGCCTCTACTCCCAGACACCATCTTCCTCTTCCACCCCCACCCCCCTCAAATAAAAACCTTTTGTCTTACAAAACGCCCCCCAACAACTCATTTACCGAGACCCTTGAAGATATTCAAAAAAAAAAAACTATCTACTCGAGTCCCAAAGACACAGAAACCAACTCGTCCACCCTCAAAATTCCACAATTCCCGCTCCCTCACACTACGGGGACTGCCGAATCCTCCTCCTCCTACTGATATTCCCCGTATACCCCTTCCTCCTATCCCCTCCAATTTTACAAATCCCTCCCCCCTAGAGTTCCAGCTTCACCTACATTAACTCTCCCTCCGAAATGTTTCCTCAATTTCATCATCTACATCTATCTTAACTGTTTGGCGCTGGATCCAGATCCATAAAACATTTCCCCCCCCCCCCTTCAGACCCTGTCTTCCAATTCGCGATTAATCTCAATCTCTGATCATGTCCAGTCGGCTAATGAACTAGGTGACTATTTCAGCCCGGTAGGTAGTGGTTCTCACCTTTCTTCCACACTTTTCTCTCTAATAAAGAGTCATCGGGAAACGCACCCCCCATTATCTTCACCCTCTCCTCCGTCGAGTCCATAAGGATCCATTTTTCTTTGAACTCAATGATGCTTTTACAGTTCGTGCCCCGCAAAACACCATGAAGGCCCTGACGGTATAAACTACCGTCTGCCTCGAGACCTTCTCTTCTTCTCTATCCTCCTATTAAACAATTTTCCAACCAACATATGGACCGCCAGGAAAATTTTCCATCTCATTGCGAGAAGCTCTATCCTCCCCCTTCTGAAACCAGTAAGTCGGGTACCCTCCTCAAGATTACCGCACCCTCGTCAACTGCGTGTGGCAACTACAGAATGAATGGTTAAACTAAATTAACTAAGTACAGCTAACCCCCTTGCTTCACTTCGAGACATATATTACATCTGCATTTGCACTCCATGAATCCATATTAGCCATATCTTTTTGACCAGCAAAATAGAAAAAAACATTATGGTACTACATGGCGGTACCATATTCTCCAAAAAGTGTCCCTCTTAGGCATATGCGGAAACATGGGTTGCTTTATAAAGTCTTTACTATACCCAGACGAACTTTCCAGGTCAAAAATTGCCATCCCACATATCCTTTTTCCTCAGTTCGACGCCAGTCCACACGGCAGTGTGCTATACTTTATTTTTAATTGATGTTGACGACATGTCTCAGTTCTACCACCAGGGCAGGTCATCACTATATGTAGACTGCTTTAACCACCTTCGCCTCTGGCACATCATACCAAATCTCCTCCTTCCTCAGTTGGAATAATCTTAGTATCGTCCTGGGCCCATGGACCAGCATTCCCGCTTTGTACCTCCAATTTTTTTCCCCATCCTTTTCTCTCGCCGCATTGTGTAGGTCCCACCTCACTCTTCTGATAGGGCACTTCTTACTCTGGAAAATCCTTGGTGTTATTTTTTCCTCCAAATTGTCCTGGCGAGGACCAGATCTTTTACATTGATGAAAAAGTCGCCGCAGGTCCGAATCTTCCATTCCAAACTCTGTATATATATCTTGGGAATTAGATCGCACAATCTCCTCCATCTTCAGGTTACCCTTCGATTATGGAGGCCGTATCTACTCCTCTATCTCAACCGCCCTCCGTGCCCATCTTGATAAATCCACCACTGCGGTCTTTGCTTAACCCTAGGTGCCTTCCGCTCCTCTCCAGGTGAGAGCCTGTATATTAAATCAGGGATACCATCTCACTCTCGATGCCGTGTTACCCTTCTCTCTCTCCAATGCTCTGCTCGATTCCACTACCTTTCCCGCGCCAAACTAAACTATCCCATGATCCCTACTTCCTACCTTGCTTCTTATCCACGGTTTACCTACTACTTTCTCCATTCGAATGGATACCCTCCTCTCCCACTCCCCTTTTCCCCATCTCAGGACCTCTTCGTTTTCGGTCATTCTGTCCCTCATGGCTCATACCCTTCTATTTGCTCTTCTGTTTTCTCTGACCCAGCAAATCAAATATTCCCCCCACTGTCCTTCTCACCCATTCCCTTGACCATGTCTCCATTCATTCCTCCAGCATTCATTTAAACACTGATGGCTGCAAATCCACCTCCGGTGCTGGTTTCGCAGTAACCTTCCCAACTCGCACTTTCAATATCCCCACATTCCTGAATTTAGTGTCCTTACTACAGAACTGTATGCACTCCTTTTTGCCTTAAAACACATATACTCACTCCCTTCTTCCTCTTTCACCGATTTTACTTACTCCCGTGACCCATTAACTCTCATAAAGTCGATGTTCTACACGCCATAAAACAATCAGATTTTACTTGGTTCTTTCAGTTTAACACATTCTGTTGTCCTATGCACACGTTGGTGCAGCCAGTACCTCTGCTTTCCCCCACCTATCCTCCCTTCACCGACCTCCCGACCTATCAGACATCCTTACAGAATCTCACACTTTCTGCTTTGACAACCTTTTCTCCTTCCTCAGACGCGTACATAGCTTTCACTTGATCTAACACCTTTACCTAACCCGACCTTAACCCATTCACTCGTCAACTCCTTTGTCCAGTTTTAACATTTTCAATATTAATCTAGATAGCTGGCGTATAGTAACTAACCACTAACTCAACCACCCTTCACTACCCTTTACCATACCTTCCTATAGTGCTACATGACCTTTGATGTCTTGCACATTTATTTTGCTTTTAACCGTTAACCATTTTCCCCCTTTCCTTTTCTTCATCCCCTTGTGTTTGTTTCCACAATACTTTATCATAATGCTTCCTACTCCCTTAACTCCTTCCCCTTCTGACAACCTTTACCTCATGCTATGTCTCATCAGCTCCCCTCTCAACCCTTTTCACTGCCATACTACCCTCTAGAACTGTTTGAACCTGTAACTTTACCCTAATCATTAACTCATTCCGAACCTTTTCACTACTCCACTTTACCATAGCAGCATATGACCTTTGTTATATGGCACTTCCTTATATGGGGGTTTTGCCCCCAAACCTCATGTTATCACTATTTGAATACGCCGCTAATGACCTTAGATGTTGACACGACAGAAAAAAAAAAAAAATAAATTTTAATTAGAAGTGACTAGAAACGGTAGTTTTGAGGTTTGCTAGATCTGTCTGGTGATCGTAGGAACTCCCCTTTGGCATGACCGCAGAAAGAGACCAGTCATGCACACTTTACTGTATTGCCCCCTCCCATCCCTTATCGTTGTTGTTGGGGGTGGGGTGGGGGGGCTTAGGAACAGGAGATTGAAGCCCAATGTAGGGGATCACCCCTCACCCTTGGATCTCAGCCTTCACCTCAACTTGTTTTGTATGGTATTTTCTTCTCCCCTTCCCGTTTCTTTCTCTTCATCCCCCTCTGTCCACTTATCCTAACTGTTTACTCATGTTTACCCTTTTCACCGCAATACTTTACCATAGTGCTATGTGACTTTTGTTATTTTTACCATTAACCATTAGGAGACGGAGACTTAGGGCCTAATGTAAGGGATCACCCCTGCCTTGAACTTCGGTCCTTGCTTCAACTAATTTTGCATGGTCTCCTCTTCCAATTTTATTTTCCTTCTCTTCATCTCCTGTCCACTTCGTAAGGCGGGAGAATCGTGCTGAGAGGATGAAAGACTGGCTTTGCGTCAAGTCATGAACGGTCTCCGGAAGCCATGGGTACGGTATTC